CGGCCGCGCCCCGTTTTACAGCCCGGACTTTGCATCCCGGCCCCTGCGCATCCTCGCTCCCGGTGTGTCCCGCTGGCGGCCCCGCTCCGCAGGTAAGGGCTGGCCGGGCTCCTGCGCTCGGTTAACGCTTTTCCCACTTTTTCTTCAGTCGCGATTTTCCCGCAGTCAAGTGTCAGCCTGGGCAAAACAGTTTTATAGCTGTCGAATGGACTGAAATCCCGTTTTCTGTTCGTTCTCAACCCCTGCCGCTCCAAAGGGGAGGCCGGGGAGTGAGGGCTCTGCTGTAAAGTGGCAAAGTTCAGGGGTGGGTGTCATGCCGAGCTTGGGTTGGTTGATTTTCTCTATCAAGGCATCAATGTGAAACAAAAAAAGAGATTTTTTTACAAGAATTGAAGGTTGTCTGTTTCCTTCACTGTGAGCTAGTAGGGTGATGGTCATTAGTCACTGTAAGGAGACTGTGAGAAGATACAATCAGTCCACCCTGCTGAATCCTCATGGAATGGTACTGGTTTGCTGTTTCCTACAATTCCCCCAGAGGTATAAGCAGTGTCCTCTTCAAAAACTCCAGCCTGAGATCCAGAGGGGATTTTGTAAAGCCTCAGTAAGGCTGACCCAAAGATTTAATCCTGGATTTTTTCCAGTGCTGGAGCATGTTCACAAGGCATTTCGATGGCCTTGAGTTCTGGCTGTGGTGGGTTTATCTGGTCAGTGTCCTGATGCTGTGGTGATGGGCTGTGCCCTGATGTGCAAAGGGGGGCTCTGCCAGGCAGGAGCACTTGGCTCATGCAGAGGGGCTCTGTCTCACTGGGCAGCTTTCACAACTAACTTTAACAGGCACTGTTTGTCCTTGGTATAAAGTCTAAGCCTTGCCCTTTCTGAGGGTTTGATACTGCTTGGTGTGCAAAACCCTTTCACATCAGAGGACATGGAGATCAGCCCATGGTGGCTCAGCCACCACCAGCCCCGTGCTGGGCACGCTTCCCTTCAGAGCTGCTCCTGCCTACCTTGACCTGCCTCAACAAGAAGGCCACGTTTTGAGCTGAGTCCAAAGCATCCCCTTGCCCCACAGGGTGTGTGCTGGCAGGATGGGAAGGACTTTCCCTTCCTCCATTGCTGTCACCACCACCTTTTGCTGTTACAGGCTGTGTGTGTGGAACTGCAGCTTTCCAAGCTCCTTGCCTTGGAACCTCTTCACTGGCACAGAATGAGTGGTCAGTGTGGCTGTTTCACCTGCTATTGCACAGCTCTGGTTGCTGGAGCAGGGAATGCAGGTGGTGAGAGTCATGAACAATGTGTGGCATCAGGAGTGAGCAAGTGCCAGTGTCCCTGCACTGCTGGGATCAGGGGGAAGGGGCTGTTCTGCACCTGAGTGTCTTCAGGTGTGTGACCAGGAACACAGCACTGACCTTCTGAAGGGCTTGCTGCTCGAGCAGAGCTGTAATGTGTTAGTGGAGCAAAAACATCTCAAGTTTGGAGAGATCCCTACAGTCACCTTTTGAGAAGGGGAGGAGCTTTCCAAGCTGAGAGTTGCTTTCTCTCAACTGCTAAATTTAAGGACTGTTTGGAATCGGTAATGCTTGATTATCATTAGCTTCTGAAGATAGTGGAGCATGTCTGAAAATCAGAAATACAGGTTTGGAAGTGACATGAATAGATATCTAGTCCATGGCCTTGAATCCCAACTGTTAGGTGTTGGATGAGGTAAGAGATCTCTCAGGTGCTCTTGGGCAAGCTGTTCCAGTCTGATGGCAGGCTGGCTGCAAACTTAGAGAGTATCTGACTTTACTGCCAATAAACCTCATACATTCATGTGGCTGCTCCCAAAGACAGAGGAGAATAAATAATGACAACCACTGTATCAATAAACCTGTCTGTGTCTGATGTGGTGTTATGTTGCCCTCTGCTTCTTTTCAAGTTGAAGAAAATGGTTTCCTTTAAGCTTTCCTGCTGGGCCACATTTTTCTAATTCTTTTGCTTTCTGTTTCTCTTTGTGAAACTTCTTTTAAGTTGCTGTTATGTGACTCAGGAGCTAGGCATCTGTTGTAGATGACAACTTGATTATTGATTACATCCACCTTTGTTAGTTATAGGAGTAGATGAAGATTTTTAAGTGGGTTTGTATTTAGTTTGTCATTCATTTTAACCCTAAGCTATTTTCATGTCCTTCAGTGTGATTCTGCTGCCCCATATTGCATCAATCTCTCCTTCACACAGGTAGTTCTTTGAACTTGTATTCAGAAATTGTATTTCGATGATTTTGGACAATTCTTGCAGCTTGCCCTGGATCTCTCTTTAGAGTATTTCTGGTGCTTGTTCACACCAAGCTTGGTGTCAATCAGAGGTTTTGTGAGTAAGCTCTTTACTTCGTGATCTAAATCACGGGGAAAATATTTAAAGGAGCCAGACTAAGTAAAAAGCCATATGCAGCCTATTTGAGATGCACTCCCTGAATTACTGAGAACCACTTTGCAATCTTTAAAGAAGTTAAAATTATTTCATAGTGACTAAATTATACTTCCTTCAGTGGCTTCATAGACTGGGGAGAACCTTGCAACAGTTTAAAATACAACAATACTTGCTCTGGATTATTTCCCTGAACTTTGTATGTGGTTCTGTAAGGGGATTTATGACATCAGAGGCAGTGCAAAACCAGACACTTGAAATTCCAGAGCCTGTGGCACTTTCTGCTCAGGTCCCTGCTGTCCAGAGAAGGCAGTTGCACATCGTCTGGATTTACAGGTGCAGTTTCTGCTAACGTAGCACTCGCTGTGAATCTCTCCACCTCATCTTCTCCTGTGGGAAACCTTGCTGAATTAGCAGTATTTTTTCAACTCAGTGGAGCAAAGCATTTGGAAGAGCACTACAGACAAAAAAAAGGGTTAGTGTTTGGTCAGCAAGGCATAATCTCCACCCGCCTTGTATGTTATTTTTGTTACAGAAGTGATTTCCTTCTCGTCTCAGAACCCATGGATGTTTGAATAATGATCCCAGCAGGACTTCAGCTGATTCCTTCCTACTGTCTCAAGATGTCCAGCACCTTCAAACCATGTGGTCACATCCTGCCTCTGTTTCACTACCTTTTTCTTTTCTCCCAAACAGGTGTAACCACCAAAAAAGTCTTCACTTCAGGCTATGATGGGATTGTTTTGGTTGTTGCTGCTTTACATCCACATGCTGTCACCTACATTTGCTGGAGGTGTCACCCGAGTGTATTACCTGGGGATCCATGAGGTGGACTGGAACTATGCTCCAACAGGAAAGAATGTCCTTGCTAACCAAAGCATTGAACAGAACCTGTATGTTTAGTTCCAGAAGAACTTGTTCTGGTGCTGCCTTAAAATAGTAGTTTTAGGAATAATTGCATGCAAGTTTTCTGGGGCATCTAAGCAAGAGACACCATCTGATGGATGTCTGATCTTTATGGGCTTAATAGTTAACTTGTTTTATCACAGGAGCATAGAAACTGTATCAGTGGGAAAAGGAAGGGCCAGTTTAATGGAGCATCGAGTGAGCAGTGTCTGGAGGCTGGAGGGAAGCACAAACACTTTAATAGAACAGATTGTGCAACACTGCCCTGAGGTTTCATTTTTCTTGGTTCCAGCTGGTGACCAGCTTCTGTATCCTGAGGCATGATGACTTGGTGTACGTGACTTTACAGAGCCAGCTTGTTTTTCTTTAAATGCAGTTTCAAGCCCCTAGACTTAATGTGACTTCTTGCACGAAATTTTAGGGGTTGTCTGAAAAATGTTTTTGTTGCAAAAGTAAATCTGGAAACTGCAATAATTACTCTGAGTCACTACAAAAAC